TCGGTAGGGTAACAATATTTGCCATTCCATTCGCAACTACTGCTGCTATTACAAAACTTCTCATTATGTCTTCTGTATAAGTTAAATTTGTTACATTTGTCCATGTATTTAGGAACCTTTTCAGCACCAAATCTGATCTGTTAATTGATAAAAGAAATATTCACAGTGTTATATTTATAGGATTAATTTTCTTTGAGATTTACAATATTTGAATATATCTGTGCTGCTGAAACCCTTTGTTTGACATTAAATAATTTTATAAGCTACATGCGAGCCTTTATACTTCCCTAATAGCACAATGCATATGATTTAGGAATAAAGACTTTCTTAATCAAAATACAACTGTCGAATTTAATTAAATAAATAGACACTTACTTTGAAGCCTGTTTCGTTGGTATAAAAATCCTCCAATCCAACTGGTTTGCCAAAGAAAAAATCATCATTCATATACAGAAAGCTTTTAGAGAGGCCTGGTATACGATGAACATGGCATGCGATAGCACCAGCATTAAATGTGGGCAGGTGACTTAAGTTTCTAAAAATTTCCTGAAAAAGAAAACTGTTCAGGATTAACAAAAAAGCATGTTGTAAAGTTATACCCAAGAAACTAATGTTTTTCGTTTATTAAGAAAGGCGAAAACCTATGTTTAACATTGTCTTGATTATGAACTTAAATAAAAAGAAAATAAGATTATTATCACCGCATTAAGAAGTGTCGGCTGTGATATAATTGGTAGCAAAACACAAACAAAATTGTACTTTGACTTCCACATAAAATACTGAATCACTATAATTGTAATAATTGCAAAAAAGAGCTTGTTTTGAACAGTTGTTTCAAAATCATCTGCAAATTTGACTTCAAAATTTATTCATAACCGTAAAATGTACTTCTAAGTGATCAAAGTAGACTGAATTTGCCTTAATTCAGATAATATGTTATGTCATATCTTTCACCAAGGTATTTCCTTTAGTTTTCTTGTTTCAAAGAACTAATTATTATCAACATGTCAGTTTTTAACTTCGTTGATGCGAAATAAAAGCAACTGTAATAAACAACAACAACAACAAAAACAGAAAAACATTAAGACGTTATTTAATTTAAATCATCTTACGGAATGTTTCACAATGGAGACTTTATGGTACCCGGTGTTTAACCAGATTGGTACCTGGCCATTTGTTACAATAAAGACATGGTTGATCCAATCGGCATACTTCTCTACTGATCGTAAAGCATATCTCAAATTTCCCCAGTCTCGGAATCGTTTAGTTGTTATCTCACTGCCTCTAAATAAAAACAAACATGAATTACCTGATAGTTGATGATATTTTATTGTCACTACATATCAGAAAATGTACACGAGTGAAGATTGAGCGATCAGTAATTAGAAATACAAGGTAAATTATGGAAGACAAAGACTTCTTTTCCTGTGGTCCGAATTCAATTTGGACATCCATACAGATTCTTTCTTTTAGTATTTACTATGAATTAAACCTCTGACACTACGTTTCGTAAATTAAGAGTTAAACGTTTTCGTTTAATCATTCTTTTTGTACGTGTTGTTTATTATACGCATTTTTTCTTATGTCAAAAAATAAATAGCTAACTATATTATATAAAGTTCACCATATGTAATGTCATGACTCATGTTGTCCTTTGAGTTATTGCATTGAGTTGTATGTATTATAATGATTGGCTTCTTTACGTATTAATAAACTAATATATAAGGATGCATTGTTGTGTGTTGAAAGCATCCCGCTGGTCGCAAGAGATTAAATCTAATTACCCTATTTGAGCCGTGTATGTCACAGCTGGAATATGTAACAGGTGTTGATGTAATCGGACGTAAAAAAGACACCTGTCTTATTTGGCTGCGAAGCAGCTGAGACTTTTATAAAATGTGATTTACTGCGGAATGACACGATCTATTTTACGACTCATCAATAGATATACAAGTACATAAAACATTTACATACACCCGCTTTACACTTCAGGACCAATACTTTTTTTTGCTTTGTTGCGAAACATTTTTCATTTACATTTCTTCAAATGGAAAGACAATGTTTTCTTATCTCCGTATACAAATAATTGACTGTACAACTGTCTGAGGTTTACGGAGATATAATATCATGGAACCAGGCTAAAATTATCATCATGGGTAAAAAACCTAAAGGGGAACTGCTTTGCATTTGGACGAAGCGCATGGGTGTAAGAGCTGTTGCAGTGCACTGCAATAAAAAATCTTATTTTTTAAAAATCTATCCATATATTTAATTTAAGAAATAAGGATAGAAATTCGTTTGGAAGAAGTTAATTTGTATGTATAATCTTGTTTTTTTTCTTGAGATGATTTGAAAAGTACATCACATCATTTATTTATGGTGGCTGATTTGTGCCATACGTGTTTTCATCCCGCGACCCCGCTGTTTTATTTCTTAAATCTTAACTCGCACCCCTGCTAATGAGCGTGTTTTTGCTCCGCGCCACCGCCAATTTAAGTTGTTAATTCTCAACTTTTAGCTTGGCGGGGTCGCGGGGAAAAAAAATTTTGACATTGACCACATGTTATTACATGCTTATTTGTTATACATACTATGTACGCATGATTATACTGCCCGGATGTACTCTGAAATAAACACTTGAAACTTATTTTAAATAAAGTAACACTGCTTTTGTCACGTGATAATTATACTTCATGCTCGCAATGTATTATGTTTCCTTATATAAAATGTCCCAAGCTTAATGTGCCTTACACAAAATGTGAAAAAAAACCATCACATTTGCAGAAAATATAAGCACACATACTCTGGTAGGTATTGAAGCATTGTATTGATGAACGCTTGGTCACTCCCATTCACCCATGTGAAAACGATATCGACTGGCTTTGAAAACCTTCAAAATATAACGAAATAGCTAACACTCATGTCATACACTTATTTGTCGGTAATAAAACGTATTAAGCCAAATATACAAAGATCATTTTTTTATACGGAGAATATTTTAACTTATTTATCAATTTTAATCTTAGCAAAGCATAATAGTTGATTGAATTTTTATTGGTAAGCATCTTGATTGAATTTTTATTGGTAAGCTAAATAATTATGTTACTGAATTTTTTTTTTTAGAATATCTTAATGTATTAATACGAGTTAAAATTTGTTACCTAACAGAAATTTGACATCTGTTTGCATCCATCTTGCTGATTTCCTGAATGTCAGATTGCTGATTTTCTATATTCTGGTAAATGATTTTTTTTTCAATGTTGAGTATACAATTTTAAAGCTTGTATTATAACGCTGTACATTAAGGAAATGAGTAACTGACTTACTTGCTTACTTACTTACTTACTTACTTGCTTACTTACTTAACTTAGCCTAACATAACTTTACTTTAATTGTATATTTCCTTACTTAATATCACAAACTTATATAATTATATTATTTATCATCTACGTATCTACGTTAATGCTATAGTTACCAAATAACCATGTTTGTATCCTTCTCTTGAAAATTAAAGTTGTTCTAATAAATAAATAAATAAATAAATAAATAAATAAATAAGAAAAAAATAAAAATAACAAAACGTTTATGCGAATTTTAATATATAAATTATTTAATTAAGCAGATATGTTTATATGATACGCACTCGTATTTTTGCCAAATATCCAGTATAATAAATGAAATTTATCCAGCAAAAAACAAGAAACGAGATAAATAAGCTCAATTTGTAAAACACAGATATTCTGTAAATATTTTTCATTTTCTTTGTACAGCGACTAATTGAAAAGAAACCTGTTACGTGTATGGCCTTTTCTACCGGGATATCACATCGCACGATCTGGGCATGCGCTAACGTCTTATTGAATTTGAACAAATAAGCTTCTGATAATATATATGATTCCATTTCGATTTCTATGTTAAATCAGTGATATAAAATATTATTTTTGTTGAAATCAAGTTACCTCATAGCAGGATCGAATTTGGCCCGTTGCTTCTTGGGTTATAATTTAAACAAACTTGATATAGGGCCTACTTACACACGGCTTACACACCATTAAGCCTGGCCATTTCTTGGAAATTAGCTTTAAGAAACAGGTTAATTTAACCCTTGTCACCTGGATATGTAAAATGCCATTTATGCAATATTAGCAACATTAGTATATTTCATGCAAGTAACTTTAAAATAAGTTTTATCTTATTTAATCTTTTTAGTTTTGAAAAGATATCATATAATGTTTGATAATTTTAATATAACAATGATACGATTTTAAACATTTTAAAGTAAAAAAACCCCTCCAGATCACAGTCTTTATGGCAATAATATTATACAGCGATTTTTTTAGAAGTAAATCATTACAAATTAAGATTAACTTTTTAAGGTTTGTTTAATATTTTTTAAGTTAAGTCGGTATTTGCTGCAAGCTGTTGTATCATGTTTATATGAGATTAAAGGTTGTACAGGTATAATTGTAATAATACATTGATATTTGCATGACTGCCTTATATATACTGTATCTATTCTATCTATTGTAAGAAGAAGAAGAAGAAGAAGAAGAAGAAGAAGAAGAAAAAGAAAAAGAGTTAAGAAAATAATCAACAAAGAAAGGCAACGTACACAGTAAGCTGCACCTAATATAACCTAGCAACAACGGCATGACACGTAGAAAGGCACCAAGTTAAATATGGGTGAGAATACAAAGGGAAAAAGGAACGGACGTACATATCAATATCTGTATCAACTAATGATTTAACAAGAAAACAATTGGATAAAGGCAAAGCAACAGTCAAGGAAACGGAAAGACAGTGTCTAGGAAATATTATTATATTAGAATAAAGCAAACATTTGTCATATGTTTGTGTAAAGAAAACATAAATTATGCATATAATTCATAATTGTTCAATAAAAATCGACAATGCAATTGTGCAGTGTTGAAAAATCTATACAAAATTTAAGTTCTTAAAGCTATAAAATGGATACACTCAACACACTTCAGGATTTAAAGCTATACGTCGTGATAAATACCTGTTTTGCTTAAGTAAAAAATGATAACGTAATGTTGTTTTTATTATCTTATAGTTGAATCTCGGAAGAGTTGTAACAGTAAAATAGAATGTCTGTCATTTAATACACATGAACAGTGTACCCATAAACAACACAAAATATTCCAGAAACATTATACTGTTATTTAATGATTTTTATATTTGAAATATATTATATTCTAACTTGAGTCTAAAGCCTCCAATTACTTTTAAAATTTAAATTTATAGGTTTATAAAACGTCACAATAAAAACAAGTACTTTATCATTCATAAAATTATCAATACACACCATTGTCAACAATACATGACAATCTGCTCTAAGTAATGACAAAATATTAAATCTTAACGGAAAACCAAGTCTGTTGATAGCCTCGAGGAATACAATCAAACTGACCAAACACACGGTGATGGGTCTTTCTAGCTAGAAGTTCTTAACGAAAACCGAGCCCAGTTTTAGGCTCATTGAATACAGTCAAACTGACCAAACCCACGGTGAATGGCCCTTAAAGTAGTTCATTGCGGAAAACCAAGCTCAATTCTAGCTTCTGGGAAAAGAATCATGCTGACCAAACCCACGGTGATAGGCCTGTCTGTTCTAGTAGATCTTAACGGCAAACCAAGCCCTGTTCTAGCCTCAAAGAATACAGTCAAGCTGATCAAACCCATGGTGTTAGGCCTTTCTTAACAGAACTCAATGCTAGGTTCTAGCCTCAGGGAATACAGTCAAATTATATTAACCCACGGTGATAAGCCTTTCTGGTACTTCTTAAGCCTTTACTTCGTAAGCATATTGTGAAAAAAGCTTCAATACTGATGAAACTTAGCACAAATGTTAACTGGACCACAACCTCTATAACAGCATGCTCAATTAGAAGTTATCTGTTACCATGGCAACGGGGGAACTTCTATTTTCTTCCATCAAAACTGATTTCAAAGTGCTGCAACCTCTAAAAATGGATTGTGATAGAGTTAAAGTCTTCCCAGCCTTGGTTACATGTTGCCTTACGTTTGGCCTGAGGTCATTTTAAACCTGTCACAAAATTTTAAGGTTAAGGATTCACGGAAAACCAAACCCGGTTCTAGCCTCAAGGAATATAGTCAAGTGGACCAAACCCACAGTGAAAGGCCTTCCTAGTAGTTCTTCACGGAAAACCAAAACCGGTGTTAGCATCAGGGAATGCAGTCAAGCTGACTAAACCCACCGTGTAAGCCTTTCAAGATCGTAACGGAAAACCGAACCCGCTTCTAGCATTTAGGAATATAATCAACTGTCCAAGCCCACGGTGATTGGCATTCCTAGTAGTTCTTTACGAAAAAACAAATCGGTGTTACCATCAGGGAATGCTGTCAAGCTGACTAAACCCACTTTGAAAGGCCTTTCCAGTAGATCGTAACGGAAAACCGAGCCCGGGTCTAGACTCTTGGAATACAATCAACTGTCCAAACCAACGGTGAAAACCCATTTTTGTAGATCTTAACAGAAAACCAGGCCCTGTTCTGGCCTCAGGAAATACAGTTAAGCTGACCAAACCCACGGTGATAGTCATTTCTAGTACAATGCAGTTTGAAAAGGAAAATGAAGTCCGGTTCTAGCATACAGTCAACAGTGAAAGCCCTTTCCAGTAGTTCTAAACTGTAAATTAAGCCCGTTGTTAGGCTAAGGGATTACCGCCAAAATTAACAGAACCGACGGTAAACGCGCTATCTTAAAGATTTTTACGGAAAATCAAGTCCGATTCTAGATTCAGGTAATACAGTCAAGTTGACCAAAGACATTCTGATAGGCTTTTCTCATAGTACTTAACGGAAAACCAAACAGCGAATACAGTATATATGATTAACAGGATTAACAAGGAAAGGTGACGTACAATGAACTCAACCCTCATACAATCCAGTAGCAAGGACCAGCCGCAGAAGATCACCAAATTCACAGTAATAAATCTCTCTAGTACTTCTAAACGAAAAACCATGTCCTGATCTAGCATCAGGGAATACATTCAAGCTTATTTTGCGACACTTCAATAGAAATACAGGTACAAAATCATTTACATACATCTGTTTTACACTTAAGAACCAATTTTAAATTTTTGCTTTGTTGCGGAACAGTTTTCATTTACATTTTAAGAAATGGAAAGAAAGACAACGTTTTCTTATTTCCGTATACAAATAATGGACTGTGTAACTGTCTGTAGTTTACCGAGATTAAATATCGTGGAACCCGGCTAAAATTAAAACATACAGTTAAACAGGTTGTCTCAACCTAAAGGGGAACTGCTTTGCATTTGGACGAAGCGCATCGGTGTATAAGAGCTGTTAAATTGGACTGTAGTAAAAACTTTTTATTTCAATCTAAACATTTGTTTACTTTTAGAAACTAGGATACAAATTCGTTTGGAAGAGATTAGTTTGTATATATTATCTTGTTTGTTTTTATTCTTTTGAGATGATTTGAATAATACAGTGTGGCTTCGAAAACTATAAAGCAACCTTTAATATAATAAAACGAGCTAGAATGGTGATTATGATAACAAATATGGGGTTGATGTTTTTGATTATTTTTATAATTAAGCTAAATATATTTACTTTAAATGTAGTTGTCGATCTTACAATCTGGACAGATCCATTCATTATCTTTAGGGGGAAAAGATTGGTGCAAACCAAGGTCAGACGGTACACAACCTCTAATCTCATATAAACACGAGCGTTTTGTTTATTAAGCCGTTATTATTGGAAGCTGATTTGTGTCATTCGTGTTATCGCCCCGCGACCCTGCCGTTTTATTTCTTAAATCTCGTCTCGCGTCCCTGCTAATTAGCGTGCTTTCGCTCCACGCCCCCGCCAATTTAACTTGTTAACTCTCGGCTTTCCGCTTGATGAGGTCGCGGGGCGGGGCGAAAAGAAATGTTCTTTATGTTAACTTCATTTATTGACAGGTTCTATAATTCGAGATATATTGATTTCTGTTGTGTTACACATGATAGTATTCATAGTTAACGTTTTCTTATTGCTTAAAAATACTGTGTAACCTAATGATATATGTTTTAATAAAGTTTTGACATTGACTATTTCATTATATTACATGCTTATTTGTTATACATACTGAGTATGCATGGGCATACTGCTCGGATGAACTCTGAAATAAACCCTTGAATCTCT